GTTATTTATTAATTATTGTAGTGGGGTTAAATAGTGCTTTGCACCCCAAAATTCATGTCCACTCAGTCTCAGAATGTGACTGTTTGGAATTAGGGTCTTTGCAGATGTAACTAGTTAAGAAGAAAAGGAGAGGACACACAGAAGAATGCAATGCAAAGATGGAGGGAGAGATTAGAATGATGCAGCTACAAGCTAAGCAATGCCAAGGATTGCCTGGAGCCAGCCGAAATGAGGAAAAAGGAAAAATTCTTTTCCAGAGCCTTCAGAGAGAGTATGGCTCCATCAACACTGTGATTTTAGACTTCTAGTAAGAGAATAAAATTGTTGTTTCAAACCACCCAGTTTGTGGTAACTTTTTATGGCAACCCTAGGAACTTAATACGATTATCTTTTACATCCACCTGTTCTCATTTCATCAGTTTTGTTCCACACTTTCTTCTATTTATGGATGTGATTTCTTTTCTATGTCGTTAAGCATTCTTAGTCTACAAAATTAATTTTCTCTTAAGTGAGTTCATGCTCAGTTGTCAGTTTGTTGCCTTTCTTGATATGTTTTGTAATTTTATTTTGCAGTTCCATTTTGAGTGGAAAGATGTTTTTGTTTATCTGCTTTCTTGTTTTTCCACTTTTTTTTCTCCATGCTCATTCTCTCCTGTCTCATCATGGCAGTTCCAGGCTGATACTCCAGAGCCAGGCAGGAGAAGCTCAATTGCCCATTCCCAGGTTTCTTCAGTTCCATGTAAACAAGGAGCCATAACAGAGCTGCCACTGGTGGTGGTGTCAAGCAGCAAAGAAAACAAGGATACTGTCTCTGGATTACTTTTGGTCCCTTCCTAGATCTAAAACATAGGCTAGCATTTCCCTAGCTTCTGCTCACATATGACTTTGTGGTAGTTTTTTTTCCCCATCTCTAATCCATGGAAATACTTATCTTGTTTTAGACTCCAGCTAGGTCTTTTTGTTTGTTTTCTCATTTTTGTTTCTGTATCGTTGCTATGAATTTGTAATACAGATTCAACAAGTGAACCTTTTGTGTGCTCTTGCCAGTTGGTCTTTTCAGAGCCTAAATACCTTTCAGAAATATTTTAGGCTATACTTTTCTATTGCAATTAAGTAGTAATTAACTGAATGATGATAACCTGATTACTTGCTTGGTTCTACTCCCATGTATCCCATTTATTACCACCAAAATACATGCCAAGAGAGGCCCTGAATATGCCTCACTTATTTTCCCCTATTGTTAAAATCTTACACAATCATGGTAGGTCAAAATGAATAATGTGACAATAGTACATTTCTATTAACTAAACTTGAGACTCTTTAAATTTCAGTAGTTTTCCCAATAATGTCCATTTTCTATTCCAGGGTCCAGTTTAACATAGCACATTTCATTCAGTTATCATGTCTCCTTAGTTTCCTCTGGTCTGTTATAGTTTCTTAGTCTTTTTTTTTTTTTCCATGGTCTTGATAGTTTTGAGGAATATTGATCAAGTGTTTTATAGACTGTCCTTCAATTTTGGATTATGTGATTATTTTTTTCATGTTTAGACTGAGTTATAGATTTTTTGGAAAGAATATCACAGAGGTGAAGTGCCCGTCTCATCACATGATATTGGTGGGTACATGGGATCAATATAACTTATCATTGGTAATATTAACCTTGACCACCTGGCCAAGGCAGTGTTTGCAGGTTCCTCCACTGTAAAGTTAGTCCCCTACCCCCTTTCCATCCTCTATTCTTTGGAAGTTAGTCATTAAGTCCAGCCCACACTCAAGGGGGAGGGGAACTAAGTTCTACCTCCTGAAGTGGGGAGTGTACCATGTTAAGCTGAACAGTGTTCCCCCAAAGGTATCTACATTCTGATCCCCTGTCAACGTTACCTTGTATGGCAAAAGAGATTTTTCAGATGAGATTAAATTGAAGATCTTGAAGAGAGAGAATATCCTGGATTATCCAGGTGTGCCCTAAATAATTACAAAGATCCTTATAAGAGGAAAGCAAGGTCAAAAGTGAAAGTGATGTGACAAAGGAAGCAGAGGTTAGAGTGATTTGGCCAGAAGCCAATGAACAACATAAAAGAGAGCAGATAAGCAGAGAGAAGACAGGACATGGTTTTAAAGCCAAATTTTAAATGAGGACACCAAAGTTTGAACAGAATCCTCAAATCCTGGCAAACAAGTAGTAAACTTGACATAGAAGGGTAACTTTTTACTCATCATATTGGCAAAAACTATGAAAAGCAGTTATATCTAGGGATGGTGATGTGGGAATATAAACAACTGTTATGAATATCAATTATCCTGAGGTCTAAGGAAAATAATCTGACATCTTAAAATTTTAAATGTGTGCATTGTTTGACTATGCAATCCTCCCTTTAGAAATCCATTTTATAGAGATAAAAACACAAGTTCATAAAGATAAATGCAGAAGGATGTATATTCCAGCATTCATTATATTAATTATAATGCTGCCTCTTGTTTTAAATTTGGTACAAATAGGTGTTTATGAGCTTCATAATTGCTTCTGGACATTTATTTTTCCCCATAGCTAATCTATCAGCAAATCTTATCTCCTTTACCTCCAAAATGTGTTTTAGATCTGTACACTACTCTCTACCAACATTATTTTTCCTGGTCAATAAACATAGATCAATATATAATATCAGAAATTAAATAATATTCCTAGTTTTGGATATGCAATTTACTTAAATATTCTATCGTTTTAAGTATTTTGCTATTATAATATGTACTATCAATTACAGTAGAGTGTTTATGCTTAATTTTAAAAAGGATTGCATAAATAAATGCTGATAAACACAAGCCATATTTACAATAACTTTTCCTACAATCACTGGGTTATTTTGATTTTAATGGCAAGAGTGATCAGGTGAAAACCCTGCCCAGATGAACACTGGAGGAACCATTCCCAAGCATTTATACATATAAACATGATTTTAACGTTGTATATTTATTGCTATCTAAGTAATGTTTACTTTGTTGCAAAATTCTCTTTCAAGAGGTACTTTGTAAAGCTTAATTTTAAGACCTTAGGATTCATAGTTATGTAATTTGATCAATGAATTTTTGAAATCACTTAACACTGAAGACCCTTGCCATTTTTAGTTTCCATAACACAAAGTGTGTCATCTCCTTAATCATTTTTAATTTCCATCCTTGGAATTTCTTCGACTCTGCTTTTTCCTTAAGACCAGAATCACAGTTACTATTCTGGTGATAATTCACAGTGTGGTATTATTTGCTTCCAAAACTATTTCCTCACTACATTCAGCATTTTGTTGGCTGCCTTAGCCATCATACCTCATTTGGATGATGTCTTCACTAACCACCGCGGACACTGAAAATTGTCTTCTGTTTTTTCCCACTAATAGGGGCTTGTGATATCAATAAGGAAAAGGGGAAAAGCCCCTCAAACCCCAGAAAATCCCAAGGAGTTTCTGGAGAGGAGTCTCTTCATCATTCTGCTCTTGTTAGAAGGATAAGTAACATTTGTATAACAACTTATAATTTACAAGAACTTTACCCACTTCATTAAACCTCAAAACAAACCTTTGAGGCTATCAAGATCATATCCACTTTTCGCATGAAGATAAATTAGCTAATAGCCATGGTGTGGAATTATATTTCTTGGATCTGAATCCTCTCCTCTTCACATTTTACTATCCTGCTTTGCACCACAACTATTCAGGAGCTCAGTTTTTTGTTGGTCTGTTTCTTTCTAGAAACCATTTCCTTTGCACTAGTTCCTTTGGAATAGAAGCCTTGACATTTTATTACACTGCTTTCCACTACAACTAGTCAAGGACTCAGTTTTCTTTTTCCCCTAGAAATCATCTCCTTTGCCTTAGTTCCCTTTGGAATAGAGAAGCCTTTCTGCTTTTACTCAGTATCTTCAGGAAATCACACATTCCTCATGCTGTTGGTAATTCTTGAGTTCTTCTAAAGGGTGAAGTAGCACCAAAGTGGCAAATACAGAGTCGATGGTGACGATGGTGACGCAGTAAGTTTGCACTTGACGATGCTTAACAGCAGGTAAAACATCGCAGGTGTAGGGCATGTTGGGTTTTGCGGGGACGCCAGGGCAAGCGGTCGTCCACAAACTCAACGCCAGATGGAGCAACTTGAACTTAATCTTCTTCAAGTTTTCCCTGACGAGCACAGGATGCAAGCTCCATTCTAATGGGTCTCTCTTGTTTCTCCTTGCGGTTGACGTTGGCTGCCCTCTCAAGAACTCTCTGCCTCCCTGGTTTCTTCTTCACAGAATCTTTCAGAATTGCTTTCTTTTCTGGACACACCGGTCCGCTTGACTGTCGCGGGGAGGGGGTCCCCAAGCTTCCAAGCCAAGCTCACTTACCTGCCACGGGTCACTAAAGCCCTTCTCTCTAGTAGGCCCTGCAGCGCTTGGGGCTCCATCAGCTCCTCCTACTTCACCCAGCCCAGCTTCTCCCGACCGTTTCCCGCGCACTCTCCGGTTCAGCCCGTGTTTGTTCCCAGACGCGCAGCGCGGGGTAGCAGACTCTGTGACTCGTCGTGCTCCCCGGTCCTTTCCGACACCTCCCTTCTAGGCGCTTTAAAGCTCCCCTCAGCCTTCCTGGGACCAGCTTTGGCCTCCTCATTCGGGCGCGGCGGCCTCGCTCGCCTCTCGGAACAGCACACCGGAAGACGCCGCCTGGCAGAAATCCTCCTCCAGGCTGTCCTAGCGCGCCGGGACCGACCCAAAAAGGCCTTCGCGGCCTGCGCATGCGGACTCGGCGGCCGGCCGCGGCGGTTTGGAGGTCTCTGACAGCTCCACGGCCGGCGGACGCAGCCTCGTTTCGTGCTTCCACGTTATCCTATCAGCGACGGGGCGGGGCGGCGGCCTCCGCAGCCTATCAGCGCGAACCACGACCCCGGCGAGCCCAGTAGGAGAGCGGCCGGGAAGAAGGCGATTGGACGGCGGCGGCGCCCCGGGGAGTAGCGTCGCCCGGGCCCCGCCCACCGCTGCCTTCCTCCGCTGGCCGCCGGCCGCCCCTTAGGCCCGAGCGAGAGCGGACGGCGAGCGGGCGCAGCTGCCGCTTGAGCGCCGGCGGGGGCTGCTGGGCCCCGCACCCTTGCTCCTCCTTAGCGCCCGCGCCCTCGGACATGGTGGCCCCCGGCTCTGTGACCAGCCGGCTGGGCTCGGTGTTCCCCTTCCTGCTGGTCCTGGTGGACCTGCAGTACGAAGGTGAGTCCTGTGCTGCCCTGGTCGGAGCCGGGCCCCCGGCGCTTCCCCTCTTGCGCCCGGGCGCGAGCCTCGGGGCGGCCGGGCCGTGCAGTGGGAGCCGGGGACTCCGGGGCTCGGCTGGGCCTGAGCCCGCCCCTGGGCGGGGGCCGGCGCCGTGTTCCGGGTTTGTCCGGGGCAGAGGTGCCTGGAGGGTTTGGAGTCAGGAGCGGGAGCGAAGGGGTCCGGGGCAGCGGGGCCCCGGGCAGCGACTTCTGGGGCGTCCTGGGACGCGGAGACTTGGGCAGCCGTCGGGTCCTGGCCTCGCTCGGGACCTTCGCTTGGCGCCTTGGGGACCCTGTTGGTCAGTGCTGCTGGGAGGAGGCGGTAAAGGTGGCCAAAGGGGAGGCATCTTTCGCCCTGGAGTTCCGGGGGAGGCGGGGATGTCCGGCTGGGTGAGCCGGAGGGGACAGTTGCCTGTTCAAAGTGGGTGACCATCCTGTTACTCTACTCTGCGTCGTGTATGGAAGTTGTTAGGTTGGTGCGTTAAGGAGCCGGGGCTGGATCTCAAGCGCCGGAAAGGCCAGGCAATTAAGTTTGTGGTTTTACAACTCCCAGCACGGTGTCATTCAACTTAGAGCTGGCTTTCCTGTTCCGAGTTCTCTGAAAACAAGGTCCCCTTCAAAAAGTACGAACGCGTAAACTTCTCTCCAGACCTACAGATTGGAATGTTGGCTCCCCTAACAGGATAGCAGAAATAGAGGGCTGTCCCGTCTTAGATGTCAGCGGGAGGAGTGAGAATTAAAGCTGAAAATGCCAGTTGAACGAATGCTCCTAGCTTGGCTACTGTGTGAAATATTCGAGGATAATGACACATCACATGCACTGATCTATTTTCATCCCTTCGAAAACGGTTAGTAGTCAAGGAGGTCAAATTAAACATTTTAATATGAGACTTGATGTTAGGTTTGGAGGGAGGCGCTGAGGTTGGGAATGGTTTCTTGTAAAATCCACTAAAAATTCTCAACTTTTTTTAAAAAAAAGTAATCCTGTCCAATTTTTAGTTCTCATTCATGGCAGTGGTTTTTTTTTTTTTTTTTTTTTGGTTTTCCTGGGGACCATATGTTTTTTTGAACCAAAATCAGAACGTGTCGTGTGATAACGTTGGGACAAAGATGTTGACAGTGAGGCTGCCCCAGAAAGTCTAGGGAATTGGAATTTGAATGCCTGGACCACTTTAATACGGGTCATATATTCCAGTTCTCCTGCATTTTTTTAGTGCTACCTTCCCCCCAAGTGTAGCATTTGTGTCCGGTTACCATTAATGATTTCTTTCGACCACTTAAGAGAAAGTTGCCTATGAAAATACCAATTTTTTTTAAAGTTACAAAGGTGCACATTTTTGTATGGTTTGCTTTCCCCACTAACATTTGGACTACCTTTTTTATAATTGCTGTTCTGTTTATGATTCTGGAGGACTTTAACCCTTCACTTCTCTCCTGTGGTATTTTTCATGAGAAAAACCTCATTAGAAAGCTTTTCTGTAGAGGAGACATTTTTCTGTATAGGGAAGAAAGGTGGTAGGAAGAAAGGAAGATCTTAAATTTAGTGAAGGTGAGCTATGTGCCAGGCACCTTTCTGTAAGCTGTCTTGTTCATGGAAGTATCTGATATTATTCCTGCTTTACAGATGAGGGAACTGAGGCTTCAAGGGTTTAACTTGTTTAAGGTCACATAGCTGTTAACTTTAAGGGCCATAAGCTGAACTCAAGTTATTTGACTCTAAAGTTCATCTTGTGTGCAGGCTGGAGACAGAAGTGGTTGACAGCATCCTGTGGGCCCAAGAATTTGTAAGTGGTAGCAGCTGAGAAAAATCAGCCTTTTTTAATTTTTTTGCCACCAGCAGTAATGAAGAGGAAGGTGGTTTCCTGGCATGTTTAACACAGTGGTTCTCAAATTTGAGTGTGCATCAGAATTTCACCTGCAGGGCTTTTTAAAACCGAGTGCTGGGCCCCACTCCCAGAGTTTCTGATTCAGTAGATCTGGGTGGGACATGAAATTTTGCATTTCTAAAAAGAAACCGCTAGTGAGAATCACTGATGCAATAAGTTACATAGAGGAATGAAATTACATGTTTGTTACGTACTAGACATTCCGTGTGGTGATGAGGATATGACGATAAGAAAGAACCTCTGACTTGCATTAGCAGACTGTTAGCTCCTGTTTTCCCAAATAACTTCTGTGTCTGAGTTCAGTAACCTCACGGTCCTCCAGGAGGCATTCAGGTCCGCATGATTTCACTACTCAGCCTGAGGCTTGGAGAGAGAAGAAAGAATGGAGAATGGGAGTGAGAAGAATAAATGTGACACAAAGAGTTGCATAGGATGGAGAGTGTCGCCAGTAATTAGTTAGCCTATTTTTTTCTAATTTAAAAATGTTTGTCTAATTTAGGAACACAGCCTGGGAACCAAACCTTCATTTATATATTTTTCTTCCTTAACATGCTGGCTGGACCCAGTTTTTCTTTATTTCACTGACCTGACCTGACTAAATCATATATTTGACCATAGGGAAAAGAATAGTTGAAAATCCTTAAGTATAAAAGATAGTGATAATTTTTTTTTTTTGGAGAAAGATTGGCCCTGACCTAACATCCGTGCCCATCTTCCTCCACTTTATATGTGGGACACCTACCACAGCATGGCTTGCCAAGCAGTACGAGGTTTGCGCCCGGGATCCCAACTGGGGAACCCCAGACCACCAGCGCAGAACGTGCGAACCTAAGCGCTATGCCACCAGGCTGGCCCCAGTGATACTTTTTATATGAACCTAACCTACTAAAAGTATGTTTTGTCTCCTGTAGGATTTTCTTGACATTATTTAAATATAGAAAGAATAAATAAAGTAGGGAAAATGAGTGACTTTCAGTAATTTATATAAACTAAATATTCTAGCAGATGGTCAGATAGCTTCTGGAATTATTTTAAATTATTTTTAATGAGGTCATAGTTGGCAGTAGTGTCAAAGTTCCAATTCACTTGACTAGTTGGCGTTTGCTGAGTGGGTGCCTGGAAATGCAGTAGTTTCATTCTATGGGACAGGGGGAGTTTTCTGAGATGGGATGCCCTGTAGTAAGTAGGCTCTGTTTTCCCATATGAAGTGAATTAATTGTGGTTAAGTTTAATTTCTTTTGCCATAGTTTTCCTTTGATTATTGAGCAGTTAATCTTTGTTTATATGGAAATATCATGGGAACCCAGTCACCTGCTCTTTAGAACTGAAACATTTCAACTATAGATTTGTTTTTCTTTCGAGATCTTTAGAAAGCTGCTTTCAAAAAAAAAATCTGATGAGATTGTGTCATGTGGAGTTCTGGAATATGGGGAAGACTCTAATCATTCAGCAGAGGCTTATGCTGTAGTGCTCTTGGGTAAGGTATGCATGGTATAGAACTCACGGTTTTTTCGTTGAGTTTACAGACCACTTGGGGGTATAAGTCATGCTTTGTGAATCATCCATGTCCTCTTCCCTCCTTTCTCAGTTTAGATTTGGTGGTCCATTTTGTAGTCATTCCATTGCAAACACTCTTTAGTCTCCTTGTTCCTGTATTCTTTTGTTTTATTCACTTGGCAAAATTTGACAGTGATTAAATCCAACTTGGCCAACATGTTTGTTGTACCTCACAGGTGAACATGGATGGAGAAAAATGGAGATAACCTTGCCAACTGGTCTCGTTTTAAACATATAACCTCAATTTCAAATGCACACTCAATACTGCCAATGTTCCTATAATTCCCTAGTATGTCTGTTCTTGAAAATCAGTATTTTAGATCTTTTCCTCTTTCCTAAATCTCCAATTTAAACCCCCTCTCCTCTCTTCCTTTACCTTATTCCTTTAGATCTTGTCTTTATTGAGAAAATGAAAGCTATCAGCAGTTTCTTCTTTCTACCACTAAATTCACTAGCCTACCCATATCTGTACCCACTCTACTACTTTTCTTATATTAAAATGGATAAAGCATCTCTATTCCTGGAAAAATCCAATTCCTATACTTATGCTCTGGATTCCGTTTTCTCGCATCTTCTGAAAATATTGCTCCTGCAGTTATCATTTCTCTCATGTGTCATCACTTTCTTCCTCTGCTGGATCATTGACATCAGCACTTCAGTGTGCTCTAGTGTTTCCATCTTAAACTGCGCTTTGATGTTATATGTCTCTTCAGCTACTGAACTGTATCTTTGCTTCTCTGGACAGCAGAATTTTAAAGAATTGTTGGCAGTCTCTATTTCCTTATCTTCTGTTCTCTCCTCAACACATGACTCCACTAATACTGCGAAGCTTTGCTTATCTGATTCCTATTTACTTATACCTCTTTTCATCTTAATTTTCCCCTCGCTGGGCTCCTACCACATCAACTTTTGCTTCAGATGCCAAGCTCATTTCTGACTAAGGGTCTTTATTCTTGGTGTTCTCACAGTCTGGAAAGGTCTTCTCTGAGACCTTTCAGAGAGGCCTGCCCTGATACAGTGTAAAAAGCACTCTCTCCTTTAGTTAATACTCTCCCTTTACCTTCTCTGTCAGAATTATCTCCCTTATTTTTATTGTCTATCTGTTCCCTCTAGAATATAAGCTTTATGGAAAGAGCTCTTATCTCTGTACCTAAAACATGTTGACATGAAGTAGATGTGCAGTAAATATTTTTTAAATGGATGAATGAAGTTGATTATTTGGTTTGTTTTTTGCAAGGACTTTCCTAAACTATCCAGGTTGAAACTGCTTGAGCAAGGAATCCTATAGCAACATTTATGCCTTCACAGTTAATTGAAGCAAAGACAGTTAATTAATATCCGTTGAAATTGAGCAAACATAGTTATAGAATAGATTTTATTTTCCTAGTTCATTCAGGAAGATTTTAGTGCAGACATTGTTCAGATGTCCTTGTTCAGATGTACTTAACTGCTTGGGCTTTTCTTCCTTTCAGTTTGGCTGTGTAGACTAAACCACTTTTTAGGTCAGCGCGATTGG